TAAATCATCACCATTTTTACTAATTGATATCACATCCTATCTCTTCAGGCCTCAGGGAAGTACACCATGGGCAGATTCCAAGCTGGAAAGGCCTGGGTCTGTCTGCCTTTTGCCTAGATCCCTTCCACAGGAGACCAATGCTTTCTGCTGCTCATCCCCAGCAACCCAGTTTCTTAAGTCTACAACTCAGAAAGCCAGCTGGAATTGGGTGCCAGGGAATAAAGTCTGCCTAGGAACTACACACTGCACATCTATCAGGGCCCTCTTTTTTACTCAGGAATTAGATACTGCCTAAAATGGATAGGGAAAAGTGTAGAACTCAGGAGCTGAATCTTGGGATAATGTTCTTCTGGCAGTTTGTTGTCAAGCCTCTCAGTCTGTTGACATTCCAAAAGCCAATGGTCAGTCTTCTCAAAATCTCACTTAAGTCTGCTGGACACCCCCTGGTCTCAGTCTGCTTGGAAAGTCTGACCCATAGGTGAGGACACTCAGAATGGGTGACATTTCTTTCCAGGATTGATATGTTCAGGGGCTGTGGTGTCTGAGTTTGAGAAGAACTTTGGAACATATGGATTTGATAAAAAGAACTACCTGCTCCTTGCCAGATCACTAGACATTCATCTGGCAAAGAGAATAAAATCTGGGAGAATCTAGGAGATCAGAATATTGGATGTTGATTTAGTTCACAGATCACACTTGTGAGCATGAGGCATGGTTTCAGATTTGTAGAAGATCACTTGGGTTTGCTAGTTCTACTAAAAGTCATACTTAGAAGCCATTGAGCCAGTGGACTACAACTCAGATCTAAGAGAGAATGATAGGTGATGAATACTGCAAAGCTTTCGAAAATTAGCTGTCAGCTGAACCCCAACAGAAGTGTAAGTGGAGTTTGGAATTCCTCAGAGATTTAAACTTGAGGAAAGTAAATTGTGATCATAACGATAACAATAGTGGTGATAGCAGCAGTAGCAGCAGGTTTAAAGGCAGTACTATTTATTGAGAAAGAAGAAAAGTCAAGAGAGAAAAGTGTGAATCCCCAGTCATGACCTCTATATTTGGGAGTCTGTAGTCCAGAATTCTCCATCCTTGAGTCTCTGGCTTTCCCAGGCCATGTATTCATTTATCACCCTAAGAACCATCTATAATACCTAGGGTGAGGAACCCAGCTTAGCAAGTCTGTCTCTTCTTGATTCTCCAAGATGTAAAAATAAATAATCAGATTAAGATAACCTCCTTAGTTCCTTACTCTGGTTGGTAAGGTTAGGTAATATAATACTCTTACTTGAAGTTCCATTCTCCACCTCCCCAACCCTTATAGTCACTCAAAGAAGACCCTGTGGAAAATTAGTAAAACTAGGAAAAAGCTGCCACCTCTGCTTCATTGGCATCTTATCTTTAAGAGCGATTGTGCTTTCACCATGAATTTCTATAGTCTTGATAACCAAATCTTCATTGGCACATTGATTTGGAAATAGGATTAGAGGGGGATGAAACAAGACCTACAAAAAAGAAAAATAATGTGTTTTTTTTCTTATAGAATAATAATCTTTAACTGAGTTATTTGAAGAGTTAACTCTACCTGCCTTATATTACAAAGTTAAGTTATTTTGGACCTCATTTCTCAATCCTGGAGGAGATAGGACATTCTCATTATAATACTCATTAAGTATCAGATTTCCTTTCGTACCCTTTCTCCAGCCTCTTACTTTGATCATAAAAGGAACCACCTCAGGAATCATTCATAACTTCTCTCCAGTCTCCTTTTCCAAAACAACATACCGCAGTAGTCTACCTATCTGTTTGTTTGTGGTGACTGCACAAAGTCTCACTAAAGCAGAGCAAGGTGAGCACACTTGCTCTTCATTGTCATTCTTCTAGTCATTTAATTGGAAATAAAATCTTAGGAAAAAGAGCTCTGAATATATGCATAAACCCACTGTTCCATGTTAATGATAGAAAACTGTTTGAGTGAGGTGTATTTTTATAGTACTGTCTGAGGCTGAATAAATGCCTTAACCCTTCATTTAGTATCAGTGAATTCCAGTAAGTGATTTCAAAGTAGTTTATGCATCAGTTTAGCCCATGAAATTTCTAGAGAAATAAAAATAATTTGTGGAGTTTCTTTATCTCCAGTTAACAATTGTCCTACCAAGTAAAATGTGTACCACTTAAAATACTGGAATGCTCCCAAGTAGGAATTTCAACTTAATCTTACCCATATTTGTTTTGTTGTTGTTATGTCAATCATTTGATTGATACAAAGAGATGGCTGGATCCATAGAATGTGAAGAATTCAAATTTTAGATCTTTACCTGGAAGCAGGAGGAGACATTTAATTGAGGAAAAAAAAAAAAAGAACCCTGAACCTGAGATGAAACATCTTATGGCCAGATTCTCAAAAACTCTGATGTACAGAATTGTAGGTATTTTCTACTTGGACTTTTGAAGGGTCATGCTTACCCACCCCCAACTTAAATACCAGAAACATTATATTGTACAAACTGGAGACAGGGTTTCAGTACCTTAAAGGAGACATAGTATAAAGAGAGACAGGGCAGGCACAAGAAAAATGTCTTCCATTTAGTTTGTTTTCTAGATGCCCCCCTTTTGGAGTGGATGTCTTTATGTTTACAATATGTAAGAAAATTATTTAAAATGTTGGTTACATGGGAAGATGACCTTTTTCTGGGAAATATAAACTGTGTATTTTCTAAATGATAACCAAAACAGGCACAAAGGAGTGTTCTATTCAACAGATTAATGGAACAAAATTCACTAACACTCCTACCCTCATCCAGTACACACTATTGGGTATCTCAGGTTATGTATAGTTTCTATGGGACCACAACTCCCTCATGGCTGTTTTCCTATGTTGACTTGCTGCTGTTTACACCTATGCCCCTGAGATTTATTTTCCAACAATTTCCTTTTTTTCAACATTGAAGAGATGGAAATCTCTTTCAATACTCCCACCTTCCTTTAAATAAATGGTTGGAAGCGAAATGTTTGTGTGTGTGTGTGTGTGTGTGTGTGTGTGTGTGTGTGAGAGAGAGAGAGAGAGAGAGAGAATTCTGCAGCAGCTAAAATAAGTGACAGATAAAAACAGTCACAGATCCTTATATATACAAACATGTGAGAGCCTTCAATGCATGGAGCCTTGGTCATTATGAGTCACCCTTAGCCAAATTATTTAAAACTGTAAACATTGCATAAGGAAAAAATGTCTCTTTAAGATGAAAGAAAATTGCAATTCAAGAAGCTTTTTTTTTTTTTTTGAAAAGTCAGTGGTTAAACTGGGAGTTAAGGGAGACTTGGGGCAAGGTATGCCAATTTCTCCAATTTATGGAGATTTTGTAGTCCTTCTTTCCTGGAGTCCCAGTGTAATCCTAGGCAGAGGTTCTGTGTGATCAGAAGGACTAGGAACTTGTGTGTGTGGAGGTGCTGACTGGAAAAGGGAAGTGGGGAAGGACCCCAAGGAGTGAACTCAGTGGGGAAATTCCCCACACTTTATTTCTGCTCTGCAAAGTGCATTCTTCCCTGGCCTTTTTGGTCAGCAGGCACCAGCAAGAAAAGGCAAGTATGCTTTGCTGGGTCCCTGGGATCCAGAGAGAGAGGTGTTAGAGTCGCAAAAGGATCAAACTAGCACAGTAAGGTGCTCTTTGCCCACTTCCTGTGCACTCACCCTATTACAACCAGGGAAGGGGGCAGGGATGAGATTGTCTCCTTATTAAATCATGGTTCTGTGTCTTGCCCTTTGGCGGGCAGGCTATACAATCGGATTTGTTCTAAAGCTGACAGATTGCCCATTTGATTGCAGTGTAGTGAGAGTGGGAATTGAGGGATCGCTTATGCCACTCAAAGGCCTTTCTTCCCTCAGGAGTAGAGACTTGAGCAGTGAAAAAGAGCTGGAGAGCCCTCAGCGACATTGTGTTGTGGCCCCTGTGGATGGAGTCAACTTGTAGGCAGTGAAGGTCCTCATGTCATTAGCATCAGCTGCTGCACGAAAGGGCAAGCCAGCGCCTCTAAGTGGGTTAGCGCACAAACGAGGCTCTGGAGACAATCTGGGCTACTCCATCCACTCCTCCATCATCCGCAGGACATGAAAAGCTCTCCGGAGCCCATCTCCGCAATATTTTTTTACTTTGAAACACCCTCCCTCCATCTCGAGGTCTTCGGATCGCGGCCACCCCCAGTATGGGTCCCTTGAGGATCACTCTGAACACACAATGCAGAGAGTGAAAAAGCAGTCACAGCTTGATTCCAGTAACTTGGGCTCTTCCCTGCAACGCCTCCACCCACACACCCAGCTACTCTTGTCCTGGGACCTGAAGACCTTGTTAAATCTCCTTCCATATTCTGGCAGCGACCCTACTTTCTCCCCTTACCCCACCTCCTGGGACACTGGAAGGCTAAGCCAAGTTCTCATCAAACCCATCCTTTCTCAATTTTGCACGGGAGGGCTTGGTAGTGAGAACGCCCCTGAAGAGAGCTGGAGCCCTGTTTATCACTCCTTGCCCCCACACAACTAGCTCCTCAAATCATTGGTGGCTCAATGACCGGAGAATCCCTTGGGACTTCTTCACACCCATCTTTGGTGCACAGAATTCAAACTCTGGGGATACGTGCTCGGGTTCTACACCAGCAACGCATCCATCTCTGTCCTAGGTTCTCCAAGTGACGAGCGAAACGGAAAAAAGGCCGTCTTCCATCATTTGGTGCCTTCCTCTTAGATCCTGAACCTGATTTTGCCCTTCTAGCCGTCCCAGAGGACCCAAGCTTTAGAGGAGGAGGACTGGGCTGCTCTCAGGGAGGAGTTGCCGCTCGGTGAAGGCGCACAGGATCTTCGAGGAGCAGGCAGGCCAGGGAGAAGGCTACGAAGCTCGCGGCGCCGGAGGGAGCGCCCAGCCCAGTAAAGAGTTAAAGGGAGGGGACGTGGGCTGTCACGCGTCATTGGGCAGATTATGTGCAGCAAACAAAAAGTGTGTGTCTGCGTGCCAGTCAGTCACTGCATCGGGTCCATCTGTACAACTCCCTCCGTCTCTCTCTCTCTGTCTCTCTCTCTTCCCTTCTCCCCCTTCTCTCTCCTCATTCTCCTCCTCTCATCTTTCTCTCCCAATTTCTCCATCTCTCTCTTGTCTCCTTAGGAAGAACCTAGAAGACAGAAACACCAACACCTTTTGACATGGAAATACACTGATGCAGTAAGCAAAAAGAAACACTCGATTGCATCTTCCCGGTTTCAGGTGGCCTTATTTGGCGATTCGCTCCTGACCTTATTCCTGGTAAGTCTATTTGCATTGACGTGGGAGGGGGGATGGGAAGAAGGCAGGTTTGGTGGGAAGAGTGGAAAATTTTGTCCCTCTTCTCCTTATTATCCAAAAGAGAGGGAAAAATGATTGTTGAGGGGATCTCTATTGCCAATAAGATTATACAAAGGAAGTAGTGGGTGGGGAGCACTTTGCCCGAAAAGCCGGGAATGGAGAGCGCGCGGCCGCTACACAATGTCTGCCTAGAGCTCAGGGCGAGCGGCCGGCGGCAGCGACCGGCTTCCAGCGAGCCCTGCCAGCGATCGGGAGCTTCTGCCCCGAGGATGAGAACCCGGGTCTAGAACAGCAGGCACAGCTGTGAAAGGTTGGGACGCAAAGGCCACTCCGCACGGGAGAGCAGTCCCAGGCTCATTGTGACCCGCTGGAGGCTCGTGGCGGCCGCCGCAGCGACGACGCGGACTGCTATTAGCGTGGCGTAGCGAGGACCTTTCACAGTATTGTTAGGTAGCACTGCATTTTAATGATTGCGTCCCTGCTGTTGCCCGAAGTGACGGGGCGACCTCTCGGCACAATGAAATGCTTGTGTGAAAGAGACTTTTAAAAGGAAAAAATAGGGCGTAAAACATTTATAAAGGAGAGAGTAGGATTCCGTTGAAAAGGAGATGAGAGAGGTCTTTTTTTTTTAATCTATTTTAATTTGTTTTTGGAAATCAGGAAGGCTACCTTGTGCTGGACAAAAATGCCCCCAAATATAGAGTGTAGCATAGTAAACGTTATACGTTAAGAATATTTTCCTTATTTTTGCTCTCTAGCAAATGCAGCCCAACATTAGCCATTTGGGGGCATACAAGAGAATGAATGGGAAAAGAGGTTGGCCAAAGTTTTGGGCTCTGTTAGCAGGAAAGAACTAAAAAGGCACTACCTTGTGATCACACCTACAAGACTAATTGGTTAACAGACATTAAGATAAAAATAGGTATTACAGAACTAATATTATTGTTTAATGAGCCGCTTTGCAGGAAAAAGAATGAGGTCCACTCTTTCCTGCTATTTAGATTATACAAAGCAAACATAAATTATTGTCAATGGTGAAATTATTCGGGAAAAACAACTTAGAGGAATCATTTCAGCAGTCAAAAATAAAACCCAATACAGCTAGTTCAAAACCGACTTTAAAAATCTTCAAATACACTTTTTTAAAATGGTAAGTCTTGTGGGGGTGTCCAGTGGCAGGTGAAGGGAAATGTCCCTTTATGACAGCTTAATAGAAAGCCCTCCATTGGGGCATTACTTTCTAAATTGCTGCGGATTAAACAGCTGGAGAGCCCAATGAGGCTATTCAGGCAGGGCTGCCCCCTCTGGCCCAAACAGGGTGGTATCTGGGGAAGTGAGAATTCACCAGTCATTACACACGGTATTTCAGACAGGGGACACTTCAGGCCTGCCCTATACCTGCTCACTTCATGGGCCACATGCGACTCAATCCACCCTCTTGTATAACAAGGTAACTGGGATTCAACCTCATCCATAAATAAGCATGTCGAGGAAAAAATAATTACCTCTGCTTGCTGCTTTTAATTAAAGCCTCGGAGGGACAGTGTAGTATTATGTTAATGAGCAGACGTATGTCCCTTCTTGTAGGCAGCAGAGAAAGGTTAGCTGACACGGAATTAGTGGCCCTGACACTCCACTTGAAATCCATTCGCTATGCTCTGCTGTCTCTGCCTACTCGCTAATGCTGCTGCCCTCTTTGGAAGAAAAGAAAAAATAAGCTCCTGGGCACCCCATTCAATACACAGGAGGAAAGGGACTGTTTTCCAAGGACAAGGAGTGTTGTTTTTTCCCCACAATCAGGTTGTGTGTGTGTGTGTGTGTGTGTGTGTGTATTTGCGCGCGTGCACGCCAGTGCATTTCCCCTCCTTACCTTCAGCCCCAAAGCCCACTTCATCCATCTCCAAGTTAATGCAAAAATGACCTAGTCTTTCTAAGCTTATTTTCTTTCTCCCATGTAGTCAGTGGGCTCCCACCATTCCATTTGTTTAAAAGGAAAGGGAAAAATTCTGAATTAGCATCTTTAAAATATGCCAGATTGATCTGCTTTAGCTTAAAAAATAAGCGCTATGCAAAAAAAGAAATCAGGCAAATGCAATAAAAAATGTCTGATAATTGAAATGTTCCTTCTGGGTTCATAGCGGTAAAGGCAGTAACATAACTTGACTCCCTGTCCTGTGTATCTGTCTCCAGTGATGGAGGATTCAGGCATCCAGCGAGGCATCTGGGATGGAGATGCCAAGGCTGTCCAACAATGTCTGACAGATATTTTTACCAGCGTTTACACAACCTGCGACATCCCGGAGAATGCTATATTTGGTCCCTGTGTTCTGAGCCATACTTCTCTGTATGACAGCATAGCTTTCATAGCTCTTAAGTCCACGGACAAGAGAACAGTCCCTTATATCTTCAGGGTAAGTCTCAGCTGATGTGATGCAGATGATGAGGGTGATGTCCCCTTGAAAATGGACATTAAAAGGATCATTTTAATGACAAGAGGAGATAGGATTTGAAGATAGAAAATGCAACAATGTACATTACACACCAAAGATTAGAAAAGAACAATTAAACGCATTTCAAAATTAAACTGATTTTCTGGACTAAATAACAAAATTTGATTTGGGATGATGGGATGCTGCACCAGTGCCTCAGTTCTGGGTTTTCCTCTGGTTGAACGGGACGTCCTGAACTCTGGGTGATTTCACAGGGGCTAAGGCTAATTTGCATACTGAGTATTTTCTGTAACTACTGTAGAAGTATTGGGTGCATTTGCGTTCCAACCTAGGAGGCCTCACCTCCTAAATTTACTTTCTTCCCTAACATTAGCTAGTGCCCAGAGTTTGTATTTATATAAAATAAAAACGTTAATTGTCTTGACAGCAAAGCATCAAGTCCATATGTTTCATTTTGAAGATAACAGGCCTCACTTCCTAGTTTTTCTTTACAAAGCAAAACTTATTAATTGTTCAATCCACAATTAGGAAGATGAGTACTACATAATAATTTCTAAGAACTGAATTTGGCCTTTTACTTCAAAAGCAAACACTGCCCCCCCCACACTTTTGCATTGTGTTATAATTTACAAGTAAATTCTGAAGAGGCTGACACTAATTTACATTGTGAGAAGAAATTTGCTCATTTAGTACTCAGCCAATATATGAAAATGGTAACTTAAAAATGTGTATCATTGGCGCAGTGTTTCAAAGCATAGTTATCCTACATAGTGGTTACAAACATAGGGGGCGTGTCCCAACTTGGGTCAAGTTTGGGAAGCATGCTCTTAGATAATCTTTGGGAACGACAGAAAAAAATGGTCCTAGCTCCTCTGGCTTCAATTTCTCACATGGGTCTCCCTCCCCCCCTTCTTTCTTCTATTTTAAATTGTAGGTAGACACCTCTGCGGCAAATGGTTCCTCAGAAGGTCTTATGTGGCTGCGGCTGGTCCAATCAGCCAGAGATAAAGAAGAGCAGAATCTTGAAGCCTATATCAAAAACGGACAGCTGTTTTACCGCTCTCTCCGCAGGATTGCCAAAGACGAGGAGTTACTAGTTTGGTACGGGAAAGAACTGACTGAGTTACTCTTGCTCTGCCCCTCTAGATCCCACAACAAAATGAATGGTAGGTTGGATCGCGACCTGCGGGTGGGCCCTTCTCAAGCTGGGGAGAGGTGCAGGGAGCGCGATGGCGTGCCTGTCTCCCCTTTGGGCTTGTAATGCGAAGCTTCTAAAAGGAAAGCGTCTCACAGGAAGCTTCTGGAATGAAGCTGGGATAGGCAGATGAAGATAAGTCGGGGTACACTTAGGGAAAGTTAGATGAAGTCGGATAGTATAATCTTTTCCTGGGCACTCAGACCCTGAGAGAAAATGGTGGGTTTGTGAAAGGGGTGATGGCAAAGTAGCCTGGGGCCAAAGCTGAGTAATCTTGTGGTGTGCGTGTGTGTGGTGTTTGCTCACTAAGCAGGGTCGACCCCTTACACATGCCTGGAATGCAGCCAACGTTTCCAGTTTGAATTCCCCTATGTGGCGCATCTGCGTTTCCGCTGCCCCAAGAGACTTCACAGCACCGACATGAGTCCCCCAGACGAACAAGGCGGCGGCGTGGGCACCAAGGACCATGGGGGCGGCGGCGGCAAAGAGCAGCAGCAGCAACAGGAGGTGACTTTGGGACCAGGCCCCAAGTTCTGCAAAGCCGGTCCCATCCACCACTACCCGTCCCCGTCCCCCGAGAGCAACAACCCACCGGCCGCCGCGGGCGGCAGTAGCGCGAAGCCATCCACAGACTTTCACAACCTAGCCCGAGAACTGGAAAACTCCCGGGGTGGCACCAGCTGCTCCCCGGCCCAGAGCCTCAGCGGCAGCAGCGGCCACCAGGAGGCAGAGCTGAGTCCCGACGGCATCGCCACCGGCGGCTGCAAAGGGAAGAGAAAATTCCCGGAGGACGCGGCGGAGGGCGGCGGCGCGGGGCTCGTGGGGGGCCGGGCTCGCTTCGCCGAGCGGCCGCTGCCAGCCTCCAAGGAGGACTTGGTGTGCACGCCGCAGCAGTACCGCGCCTCGGGCAGCTACTTCAGCCTGGAAGAGAACGGCCGCCTCTTCGCGCCGCCCAGCCCGGAGACCGGCGAGGCGAAGCGCAGCGCGTTCGTGGAGGTGAAGAAGGCGGGCCGCGCGGGCGGCCTGCAGGAGGAGGCGAGCGCCGACGGCGGGGGAACTGCTGCCGAGGACCAGGACGCAGGCGGCGGCGGCGGCTCCTCCACGCCTGCCGCTGCGTCGCCCGCGGGCACCGAGAAGCTACTGGCCCCGCGGCCCGGTGGCCCGCTGCCCAGCCGGTTAGAGGGCGGCAGCCCCGCGAGGGGCAGCGCCTTCACTTCCGTGCCGCAGCTGGGCGGCTCCGGCGGCAGCGGCGCCGGGAGTGGTGCGGGGACCGCGGGCGGCACTGGCGGTGGCCAGGGCGCCGCGTCGGACGAGCGCAAGAGCGCGTTCTCGCAGCCCGCGCGCTCCTTCTCGCAGCTGTCCCCGCTGGTCCTGGGTCAGAAGTTGGGCGCGCTCGAGCCCTGCCACCCCAGCGACGGCGTGGGCCCCACCAGACTCTACCCCGCCGCCGCGGACCCCCTGGCCGTGAAGCTCCAGGGGGCCGCGGACCTGAACGGGGGCTGCGGGGCGCTGCCGAGCGGCGGGGGCGGCCTGCCCAAGCAGAGCCCCTTCCTCTACGCCACCGCCTTCTGGCCCAAGAGCTCGGCGGCCGCTGCTGCGGCAGCCGCGGCGGCCGCGGGGCCCCTCCAGCTGCAGCTGCCCTCGGCGCTCACACTGCTGCCGCCCTCCTTTACCTCGCTGTGTCTGCCCGCGCAGAACTGGTGCGCCAAGTGCAACGCCTCCTTCCGCATGACCTCCGACCTGGTGTACCACATGAGGTCGCACCACAAAAAGGAGTATGCCATGGAGCCCCTGGTGAAGCGCCGGCGGGAGGAGAAACTCAAGTGCCCCATTTGCAACGAGTCCTTCAGGGAGCGTCACCACCTCTCCAGGCACATGACCTCGCATAATTGACTGGGGAAAGGACCCCGGCTCTCCACGCGTGCGCACGCACAGTCAAGCCACCTGCAGAACAAACACGCGAGGACATCCACCACTTCCTTTTGCTCGAAACACTACACACACACACACACACACACACACACACACACACACACACACGTGCATACACATACACGTGCCCCTCCCCCAGGAGCTTTCTCATTAAATGCTTACCCCATACACACACACACACACACACACACACACACACACACACACACACAAGACAGGACGGTGGATTTTTGATTGGGTGGGATGTTTGAGGGGTTTTCTTTTGAATGCACGCATTTTCACTTTCCCAAAAATAAAGTTACATTTTTTAAAATGTCATATATTGCAACATATTGATGCATTTGTCATACGTTTCTACTTAAATTATTAAGCACTTACAGTTTAGATGTAATAATTATATGTAAGGACAAAATTTATTTTCGATATAAAGTAACGGAGGAGAGTGGGATGCTTTCTGCATTTCTGATGACAGCTTGTGTTCTTACAAAAATAAACAAAACGAATAAAAAGGGGGTCGCCATTCAATTTAAGTTTCCAGGGGGAAGTGCATGTATCATGAAATAATTATGGACTTCAGTGAAGAATATCATCTCTATGTAAATATGTATCTCTTTTAATACAAAGTGTAATTTTGTGACAGTGAAATGGAGTCTGAATAGTTATGTGTTTCTTTTATCCCTGGAAAGATTTATTAAACTTTATAGTTTATCCGGATATGTTGGATGCTTTGACAATAAATGACTATTTTCTTCAAAGCAATTACTTGGAAAGTTTTTAACAGTTTTTTTTTTGTAGCTAAGTGCTATACTTTGAGAAGATGGCATTTACCTTCACAAGCTCCTGAAAAGAAGGGAAGAGAAGAGAGCTTGTTGTATTTGCATTTATTTACTGTAGACATTTTATTTATTTATTTGTTGCACTGCATTTATTTACCTGAATGAATGTAAGTTTTAATTATCTGTTGGACAATCTTTATTTGGAAAATGTTGGCCTTTTGAGCAAAAACAAATCATTTAATGAAACACCTGCCATGCAGCTAACCTGTTACTGGGATATCTTTTTCAGAAGCAGGATATTAGCATTTCCACAAATGGCAGAGACAAACAATTCTCAGACCTGCATCTGGAAGAACAGATGAAAAGCCCAGTTTAGGTTCTGGTAGTGATACTTACATGGAAGAGTACCTTATATTCTAGAATCCTGGGCATTCTGTCATCCACTAAGAGGCCCAATGGGAAGTTTCTCTAGAAACTGAGGTGAAAATATCAAGGTTTGATGATAGTTTATGCATTGTAGGGCCCAGTTTTTCTTCTAAAGGCTTCAACATTCATACCGCCTCTGGGTGGGGGGTGGAACTTGAAACATTACAATATAGAAGAAACTGACAACCTGACAACCTTTCTCCTCTTTAAGTTCTTAACTATAGTGAAAAATCACTCTGTACTGTTCACACACTGCCAATAATTAAATGGAGTATACTTGTGTTGGTGGATGTGGTATGTACTGTACCACTGGATATAAAACCAAATGAACAGTGATCCTTTTACCCTTAGGGCAGCATCCTCATAATCCCTGGGTGTCTCCATAGTTACTCTGTGGATGCCTAAAAAAGCAGTGTACTGGTTGAGCTAGCATAGGAGTGAGCTATCTTCTTCTTTCAAATTCTGCTGATCTCCCCAAATCTGAAGGACATTTGTGAACAAGATCATTAGGAAATTTTAATAATTTCTAAAGGATTATAGGCTTTTCAATGACTTTTCCCTAAAGGATTTAAAGCCTTCATTATCTTAAGACCACTGGAAAACAAGATATGGTTAGAGTAGGAAGCAGGTAAAGATCAGGTGTAGGGCAAATAAATGAATCTACAAGGAGTGGGACCAGGGTTGATGATAAAGCAAGTTGGGTTCCTTAGGCTCACCAACACTTTCTTGTGTGATATTCCTTTGAGTAATGCTTTCAGTTTTCCCAGGCAACAGTTTGATGGTTGTTATATTGGTCTCCAGCAATGTGTGGTGGAGAATAGTCTAAACTCCATCCTGACTCTTCTATTCTGATTAGTGGTGGCTTCTGCTTCATTGTTGATATCATTTGATTTACCTGCAACTTAGTTTTCTTTTCTGTAAAATGAATGGCATATTCTACTATGTTTGCAATTACTTCTAGCACCAAAAGAATCATTTTGCTAATGAGCTAAGCAATTGAGCCTAAAGGAAGCTTCCTAGAAAAAGACCAAAGATTGGTTGTGAAGAAAATTGGGTAGCAAGAAGTGAAGAGATACTTGGAGGCAATGGAAGATGGGCATTAGGAAAATTGGGTAGCAAGAAGTGAAGAAGATACTTGGAGGCAAATGGAAGATGGGCATTAGGAAATCCTTAACATCAGTGTACCTGACAGGCAAACTAAATTTTCTATGCCTTTTTGAAAAGCGCTTCCTTATAGACTGGAATCAGTTTTCTGAAGGAAGCTTAAACACAGCCTGTCCTGTGTTTTCCTTTGTATGCTCAGTAACTCAGTCATACCAATCAGGAAAGAAAGCCTGGCATTGCCTGAGCATATTCAGATAGGTGTATTGGCAGATACTTTAGGTCAGGGTAAGTATGCTGATCAATCTGCCCAGAAGACCATTCTGGCAAAGATAGTAAGAGAAGGATGCCCAAAGCTAGTTTGCCAAGGCAAACTTGGAAATATTTTATCTTAATGCTGAATTTTCAAGCTTCCAAATGTATTGTAATCCTCTCCTGTTATCTGAACCTTCTCACAGCTAGCTGAGGTCTCTGGCTGAAGGCGTGGACATAAACGTTTGCACACAGCTGCAGAGGAAACAAGTTCACAGGGTTCTTGTAGGCATCAAGACAAGCTGGTTCCACAAAGTCCACACCAGGTGGCCTGAGCTTTCAGTGTAAGCAGTTAGCTTGACCATCTAGTGCAAAAAAAAAAAATAAAAAAACCCAGGTCCTAAAGCCAATTCAGGTGCTTCATCCTTACTTGTGTCCCCATCAGTGGAAGAACTGGGGAACTGATCAGCGCCTAAAGGTCTAGAAACATAGGTGTGTTTCTCAAAGCTAATCCAGAATCTTTCCGCATTTGTCTCTTTATTTTTGGACGCATTTGTAAACTGGGGGTGGGTTCTATTTTCTAGGATGTGCTTGTAGGGTACAGAGTGCACCCCAAACCTTCGGAGCTAATGGGGCCAGGACGGAACAAACACGAGTTCAAAGGCAGTGGAGAGCCCAGATGCAAAACCGAATCCTCTCTGGAAAGTTCCCAAGGTGACAGAAGCTCACTTTAAAACTCAGACCAAGGATGCCAACAGCCCGGCGTGTTACAGTGGCCATGGGGCGCGAACTAGTTGCAAGCACAGAGTTGCGGCCACAGTCATATGTTGAGGTGAGGAAGAGGGGTATCTCGTCTAGGTTGCGAGTTTCGGGGCTCCTTATCCCAGCCCTCTTAGCTGCGCTGCCCGTTCCCTATTAAATTTCCCTCCTCGCAGAGTATCTCCTTAGGCGCCATGCCCAGTGAGCGAGACCTCTAACCGGGAAATCTTGCACAGCCAGGACCACCCAGGACCACCCAGGAAAGGGTGTTCCATTTCTCCTGCCTCCCCCATTCCGAAAACCTGAAGCCCTAGAGCTGCCCGGCCTCCAGGATCCAGCTCCTCCCGCTAACTCCCCCGCCCGTTCCGAGCGGTGCTGCAAGCTCAGGTGCAGCGACAGTGCCACCTGCTTCAGTGCAGCCTAACCCCCATCCCCAACCCCGGGCAGATGCGACCCGATCATCCTGCACACCCCGCACGGCACTCGCGGAGTGCGAGCCGGCATCTACCCGGAGGTTTTAGGTTTTCTCTCTTCCTTCTTCCTTTTCCCAAGCTCTGCTTTAGTTGGGTTCATTCTATGGAATCTCCAGTTTTCTGTTCCCGCACCTCCTCTTCACTTCCGTGTTAAGCTCTCCAGAGCTTCACGTTCCTACCCGCGGTTTTAAGAGGAAAGTTCTCTTGGTGACTCTCTGGCCACCCAGGTAACCGACTCCTGTGGTGGCAGCACCAGCAGCCCATCAGGAGACCGCCACTGTCCAACACGCGGCATTAAAGAGGCTACCGCAGCACCCTGGGATCGAAGAGATGAGCAGCGCCAGTCACCTCAACGCCTCCCCCCACCTCAACACACACAATAGACAGTATTCGAGAGTTCCCCCTAGCTTGGAAATTCATCGGTTTTCCCCGAAAGGTGAAAAAACGACGACCAAGGACTGTAGATAATTGAGCCTGCTCAGGAGCACAGACTTGGAAATGGGCCACGAAGCTGCACCTCTCCTTTTTCCTCCCTCAAAGCATTTCAGAGCCAGGAGGAGGCTGAGCCAGAAGCCTATGTCTTAGGCTGGTGGGCACAGAAGAGGGGACTGCTCTCTGCTTCACAGATCACACCCTAAGGCAATTTTCTCCTTTTCCCACTTTAGACTGAGGACTTAGAAATTTTCAATAATATATCATTTTCCAGTAAAAAAAAAAAAACTCTAGTAAAAAAAGAAACTGAAGAAAATCTTCTTTGAACTGGTAACAGGGTCCTAATTGAACTAACTCAATTATGCCAGTTATTATTTACTTATTCCTTTTCAAGTTGTGTGTATACTAGAAATCTTTGCCTACACAAGTTTGCATACACCTTTATGTATATGTGTGCATATACTATACCCAGACACATATGCAAATATACACATACATTTGAAAAGCACACACTCAAACACATACCTGGCAGAAATTATTCTAAGTACTTTTCCTGTGTTGCTTGGTTTAGTCTCACCACCTTCCCAAGAGAATGCCTACTAAGGATCCTGGTTCCATTCATGCTTTAGCACTTGTGGTTAGTATGGCTGTCACCATGGAATAGAAAGATGAGAGTGTAACAGAGTACAGTGGAAAGAATAGTGGTTGTTAAGACAGGAGACCTGTTCCAAATATTGTGGTCTATTTTATTCTACTTCCTTTATTTGAACATGTGAATTAATACTACCTGTGGACCTATCACATAGCAATGTCTTAAAAAGCAAAAAGTTATACATAGACTTTTTATACTATTATAAATGATTGAGTTCCCTTTTGATGTAAGAGATGTACTTTTAGCCTCCTCTATCTTCCTTAGGTAAATCAGGATGTTCTAGTACTCGCTATAAGGAATTCTTTTGTGCCTTGACTTCCTTAATGATCTTCTGCTCATTTTTACCAGAAGTTAATATCTGGTTTGATTTTGTAGATATGCATGTAACTACTTGGGACTTTTCTCCAGTGTTTCAGTCTTATAGGAGGGTAACTGAAAAATTACCTGAGACATAAAATCAAGCAAGGCTGTAAGTCATCTCATCTATGTAGATTTAAACTGACTTAGCTGCAGTAATCCTAATCATAAGTACAGTGTGTTTCCAGTACTTAAAACTTGTAAGCCAGCATAATGGTGAAGATAAAAGGGCTATAAGAGAAGCCCTAGCTATAACTGCCATGATGTAGAAGAGATGGGCAAAACTCAGAAGAGCAGCTCATTCCTCTTCCTGGTTGCTATATCACAAAAGTCACCTTGCTTAGAAAGCTATGCTGTGCCCAGTGCTTCATGAAGACAATGCTCCCTCTGTAGACCATAATGACCCATAACTGACATTCATCCATCCTTTAGTATCACCTAAAGGAGCCCATGACTCCAGCTCAAGTCTTTCAGTATTTTCAAATGGACTTTGAGCTATAATGCATTATTTTTGTAATAAATAACTGCTGC